TCTCTCTCTCTCTCTCTCTCTCTCTCTCTCTCTCTTGCATCTCTCCTCCTCTCCTCCTCTCTCTCTCTCTCTCCTTTGCATCCTTCCTTCCCTCACTTCCTCCCCTCCTCTCTCTCTCTCTCTCCCCTTTGCCTCCCTCTTCCGCCACTTCCTCCCCTCCTCTCTCACCACTTTCTCCCCTCCTTCACCACCACCATCACGTCTCTCCCCTCACCACCATCTTCCCTTCCTCCCCTCGACGTGATCGACCAAGCGTCTGTAATCATGTTAGTTCATCTCATAACTGACGTCCGCGTCTTCACTCGTCTTGTTACGGGTTTTCTCTCTCTGTCTCTCTCCATTTTTTTTTAAAGGATGGAGGGGTTTTGGAGGGGAAAGAGGGGAGGTCAGAAAGAGGGTTGGGGGTCTTTTTCCTAAGGGATGAGGGAAGGGTTCAGGGGTAGAGTTGAAAGGTCTTAGCTAAGGTGGGGGTTTAAGAGGAAGGGGGTAGAGGGGGGAGTAAAAGAAAAGGGGGGGTAGGGGGGGTAGGGAGGTCTTTTCTAAGATGAAGGGCAAGGGTTGGGGGGTCTTCTCTACGGTGGGGGTGGGGGGGCAAGGGTGAGGGTAGAGCGGTCTGAAAGGGAGGTTGAAGAAGTCTTTCTTATGGTCTTGCTTCTTGAAACACTGGGATGGCCTTTTAAGACAATGTCGGGCATTTATATGTGTACGAAATGTTATATATTTCCTTTCCTTAAGGGACGAGTTGCAAATCATGGGAATATTTTGGTCTAAGTCCTAACTGTTCCTTTTACTCTGCTCTCACATAGATTTATATATTGTTCATGTTCATGTTCCGGATATTTCCTTACATACAAACCAACGTTTTCGCAAGGATCGGTATATTAAAGAAAAATAAGAAGGAAGTTAATAATAAGAAAAATAAGAAGAAAGGAAGAAGAAAAAGATAAAAAGGGAGAAAAACAAGAGGAAGACGAAAAAAGAAGAAAAAATGAGGATAAAATAAAATAAAAGATAAAAAGAAAAAACAAACAAACAAGAAGACGAAAAAGAAGAAAAATAATCAGAAGGAAAAAGATAAAAGGGAAGAAAAAAACAAGAAGACGAATAAAAGCAACCCAAGGAGGCATCCAAATCCAAAAATAAAAACAGAATGATAATACGGAACAAATGAGCAGCAATGCACCAACCGCATCTGCGAAACTGCCTATCATCCTCACTTTACAAACAGGCACGCCATTACACCAAGTAATGTGTGTCTTTGCGTCTCTGTGTGCGTGCATGTGCGTCCATGTCCCTGCGTGTAAACATACCAGACCCACATACACATACACACACACGTACACTGGAGGTTGGTACACATGCACGCACACACTGCGAACGTCATAGTTACTTGAGATCCCACTCGGCTGTGGCTCTAACTCGATTAGGGCGGGATCCCCGAGCGGCCAGGGCGGGGGGGCGAGGGAACATGGGGGGGAGGGAGGGAAGGGTGGTGCCAGGGTAGGGGTAGAGTGGCCAGGGCGGTGCCAGGGTAGAGTCGGAGTGGCCAGGGCGGTGCCAGGATAGTGGCAGAGAGGCTAAGGCGGTGCCAGGGTTAAACAGGGTAGGCACAGGGTAGGCAGGGTAGTGCCAGGGTTAAACAAGGTAGTGCCAGGATTAAGGCAGGGTGGGTAGAGTGGCGACAGGGTTAAAAAGGACAGTGCCAGGGTTATGTAGGGTGGGTAGGGCGGTGAAATAATAATAATAATAATGGGAATGGTGATATTCCAAAAGATAACATTGAGTGATAATAGTAATGAAACTGCAAAAACAACAACAGCAATAAAAGAAAAACGATGATAATAACAGCAAAGATTGATAGTTATGATAAGTCAATTAGGATGGGATATATAAATGATAGTGATAAAACATAATGATAACTAAGAAGGTATTTCTATTGGTAATGATGTTAATAATGATGTCAACAATTTTATTATTGCAGCGATCATCTGTATCACATCACGATAACCAGACAAATGATTATAAAGAAAAAAAAATCCATCCTCCTTTCACTTCCTCTTTTCCTCCAGTCTCCTCTCTCCTTCCTCCCTTTTATCTTTCCTTTCCTTCCTCCTCTCTACTTCCCTCCACCTCTCTCTTTCCCCCACTCCTCCTCTCTTCCTTCTCCCCTCCTCCTCTCTCATTTTCTCCTCTTCTCTCTCTCCCTCTCTCCTCTTCTCTCTCTTTTTCTCTCCACTTCTCTCCCTCCTTCTTTCCTCTTCTCTCTCTTCCTCTCTCCTTCTCTCCTCTTCTTCTCCCCCTCAGTCCTCTTCTTCCTCCCCCCTTCCTCCTCCCTTCCTCCTCTCTCCCTCTCTCCTCTTCTCCTCCTCACTCTTTTCTCTCTCTCCTCTTCTCTCCTTCACTCCTTCCTCTCTCTCTCTCCCTCTCACCCTCCTCCTTCTCGGCCCTAAATACACCTTCTTGAAGACAGATCTCCAGCGACCTGAGGGAAGCTGAGTCA